TATGACTACTGACACGTTTATTTCAGTACTTATTCACAACTTCTCAGTATGCAATGCTTATCTTGCTAAAGCATAGATAATTTCGTGGTCCACATTAAAGCATTTTGATGTATAAATTCCTAAACCAGTCCCAATGTGGGGTTAACAGCTAACACTTATCGTGCACAAACAAGTTTAGGATCGCTTGTCTCGATTTTCCTGATGTGCTCCAGTGTCGTTCAGTGAACCCATTTTTAAGTCTAGAATATCATCATTGGCTTTGAAGTTTCTCGCTCTTTACTTTCAGTACTTCGCTCCACACGATATATACTTTTCAATTTAAAACAATATAACAACTTCAGCATTCAAATATAGGATATATTTGGTAAAATCGATGTATATTTTGAATAAAGTTCGCATGATATTTGTTAGAGATAAAACTAATTTTCCTTTGGCTGTATGACACCAGAGAGCTCTTTTGAAGCCAAACAATTAACGGAGTCACATAGCTTGAAAATGTATGCAGTTTACGTTACGAAAGAACAATTGTCCATACCAGTGTCGATTTGTAAAGATTTGAATGACACATAACCAAGAGCTAAAACTTTGTAAAATACAAAATGTTATAAAGTTAGGAGCGGGGCTCTTTGTGTATGTCCACATTTTATTTTTGATCGTGCTTAATGATCTATGTAAAACAAAGAATATATGCACAACTTTAACAAACTAATTCATAGCACTCAAAGTTTTGAACCTTTTAGGAGCAACTTTGAAAATTATACTGTATGTCCTCTCTGTTGCTGGTGTTGGGGGCGGATTCACACTTAAATGTGCTCTCCCATCCCAAAATTTGTTTAAGAAATATGCAAAATAAGTTAATATGACTAGATGCAGTGTAAAAATATCCACATATATATTTAGCTCCTCTTCTCCACTCTTTAGCCGGGATAATAAGGGATTAGTGCCTTATGACTGATAAGGTGGAAAATCTTGACACTCTCATATCGTTAAAGAGAATGCACATCTGAAAGTATGTTTTTTTTCTTTACATTTGTTTATTTTGATTATTTGCTCATCTTACTGAAATATTAGTCCTACGTTTGAAAGACCAGATGCAATGGACCCGTACCTGCTAGTCTCTGTTTATCATTAATGTTTTCGGCAAACATAAAACATAAATTCCTGCACACTACATTGGATATACGAAAAGAATCAAAAATAATATGCACCGCATCCTTTCTGATTCCATCGACTTTGCTATATGATGTTTAAAGTACACACTATTCTTTAATTTCCATCGAATCCACATCGCTATAATAATACAAGTCTGACGCTCCAATGAGTCATGACCTAGTGGTTAGAGCGTCCGCCTCGGGTACGGGAGATAGCGGGTTCGAACCTCGCCCGAGTCCTGCCAAAGACTTACATAAATGGAAATAACAGCTACCTTAATATGCTCCCCTGGTGTCAGGATAATGTGACTGGGTGGGAGATCGTGCTATATGTCTACGGAATGATTCTCCGGTGCTAGACATCACTATAAACTGCCACACTTTAGACATCGTAGCGATATGATTTAAATCTGTTAAAACTACGTTAAAAATCCAAATCTCTCTCTCTCTCTCTCTCTCTCTCTCTCTCTCTCTCTCTCTCTCTCTCTCTCTCTCTCTCTCTCTCTCTCACACACACACACACACACACACACACACACACACACACACACACACACACACACACACACACACACACAGAGTACAAGTCCAAACTACTGCCCCAAGCCCCAACGACCTGAATATTGCATTATCAATTGTTCTTGCCTGCTTTTAAAAGATCGTATGATTTAGACTTGGACAACTTGTGTCTCTTACAGAAAAATGTTTGATCTGAAATCCGCCTATATCAGCTGACAATGCTAACTTATTTTTCTTGTTGACGCTGGGGAAATTCAGTTACAAACTATCCCATCGAAAAATAACATAATCACGATAATACCGGTTGTAATAATACATATGCACTGAATATGCTAAAATTATTACGTTAAACAGCGATTGCAAAGTTTAGTGTAGCATTATTACTTTAGAAGCAGCAAATTAAATGTGAAGTGTAATTTCAAGAGCTTGTGTAAATTGATCTGTAACTAAGGTGGCGCTCTACAGTTTCGTATTAAGCATAGGGTTAAAATTTTAAAGAAAAAGAGTTTCCCCGGGTTTCCTCACTAGTTATACTGGTTTTTTAAAAGAGACTTTGTATATTTTAGGTATTGTTCAAAGAACCTTTAATTTCCTTTATTTTGATGTATGATTGATGGGTGTATTATGGGTTAGAGAGTATACAGCTTGGCCTTACTGCAGATGTGCATCTTTCAAAAAAGTGCTAGCTCTACTTGCTCATTTTCACTTCTCGTACTTCAGAGGAAAATTTGTAAAAAAAAGAGCCGATAACTTTTTTTTACATTTTATGTATTTGGTAATTCAGTCATTGCACTTTTAGAAGCTGGTATTATCTAGTTTGGCAAAATTCATTTTCCATATTTTAATAGCTGCCAAGAATAGACAAATTTTGGTTGATTTTTGGAGCACAAGGCAGCAGTCATTTTAGTTCGCAGTGTCCTAAGCTCATTTAAAATTTCCAAAAGTACAATATCCAAAGAAATTTCATCCACATTACATGAAAGTAGTATATAGGTATGCCAACATTCTCTCCACTGTGCATGTTTAAAATGCAAACAACTTCACCTTACATACATCACTCTCTCAAAAGTACATAATAACTGGTGAGCGCCACCTAAGAGCCAGATCATTCATGCGTGTTAATAAATTTTTCAACTCTTATTGTGACGGCATGACATAAATGTTGTACCCTATCTATCAACGCCCCAGACATAAATAATGTAACCTACTTATCCACACACTTGACGTAAATATTGGTCCCTACCCATCCAAACCCTGACATAAATACTGTAACCTACTTATACACACCCCTAACATAAATATTGTACCCTACTCATCCCCAAATACGGTCACTTCCCTAATATAAATACTTATTATCGAATGCCATGAAATAAGTTTAAACAAATTTACATAAAATTCGCTACTCATGTCGATGGATGAAATCAAATCCTAGTCAGTTAGAATTTGACAACTACGGAGCACATCATAAGACAAAGCAGTAAGGTCTCTTCACTCCTGGATCTCAGTGTTTATAAAAAATCAGTTGATGGTTTTCGATGATCGTCATAGGGTGACTTAATATCTTACCATTCATTACGACAATAGCAAGTAGATGTGGGCCACTGGTTAATATTGGTATAACAGTGGCGTCACTAATGTGTGCAGGATGATTAGGAGTGTGGGCTGTAGCATCAGATGGAGTGTCATCAAAACGACTTTCTATAAATGTTTTGAATTTTGGTGCAGGAAGGGGGTCCAAAAGGGTGACACCATGAGCTACAGCACTGGGTTTCACCAAACCTTGTGACGGACTGGTATAAAATAAGTCCGATAAATTAACCCCTACCCCACCTCCGTAAACCTGTGTCGATATAGATGAATGGGTGGGTGGGTGGAGTTGACTTTTAAAACCGTTCGTCGGTAACGCAGCAGGTGGTGCATGGGTTGGAGAGAGCTGATTTATCGGACTATTAGGGATACTGAAACATGGTGTGTGTGTGTGTGTGTGTGTGTTATTCTCTCTCTCTCTCTCTCTCTCTCTCTCTCTCTCTCTCTCTCTCTCTCTCTCTCTCTCTCTCTCTCTCTCCTGAATTATTTTTGTTTCTGCAGGGTGGAATTCTTTCTTGTTATTTTCTTGAATACCAAAAGCGCGAATAGGGCTGCTCCCGTGAGTGGAAATCGTGGGATGGGATGGGGAATTAGTTTGGGGAAGATTTGGTGGGATCGAAAATGTTGGGGGATCGAAAATGTTGGGCAGAAATTGTTTGTTCGATACACGAACTTTATATTATCATATTATCTTACAAGGATCGTGAGTATTTATATTTGTGAATATAACCAAGGCCAAGGGCAGTCAGGAATGAGATAAAGACCCCTACCCAAACAACCCCCTCCCCCAAACAAACAAACAGAAGAAGAAAACAAACAAATACACACAAAAAAGACAAGCATGGTTAAAAATCGAAAACAGTAAAAGTCAAGAATGATAAGAAATAACCAAGACAAAAAAAATAAATTTGAGTCAAGACAGGTATCAATATCAACTTCAGTGAGAAATGGTAAAACAAACAAACAAACAAACAACCCCAACAACAAGATTAAAGGCAGTCAGACGTGGTAGTGATAACAAGAGCATGGGGAGTCAGGTAGATAGAACGGTTTTGATTCAGTTGCTGCTTAAGGGAACGCACTGATAGTGTTAGGACCGTGGTTCCCAAACTTTTTTTAGGTCATCGACTCCTTTGTTATCTTAAGCGCCTCCCTACCTTACCCAGTAACAAGCCTTCTTTAGCATTAGTGCCACCCTTTGTAATCCCATTGTCCCCTTTGGGAATCACTGTGCTAAAAGAAGCTATTTTTCTTCGTGATTGAAAAATTATATTAGAAGTTGGAATTTAACGATCTGCAATTGTTATTGCCTTTTTAGCACATTCTTGTTATTTATATATTTCTCCGTATGCCTGATGTAACATAATGTAAGATGTATATTTTAAATGTGTTGTGAGAATGTATGATGAGAAAGTTTTATAACATTTTGTATATTTGCCCATTTGCCTCCGTCTCTTAAATTTATTAGATACAATTTGTTTATCTGTGTACTTAATTCTCGTATTTACAAAAAGTACTTTCGATGGTAGTAAGTCAAAACAAGTTACAGGCCATAGAAACTGGTTTCGGTACCGCTCTAGGTACAGTTTTGGGCTTTGGCTCAAACAAATAAATACATTTTATTGTAGTATTATTTCTTGCAAAAGATACATGAAAAGGAAATTAGATAAAAAAAAATAAAATTTAATAATTGAATGTATGGTTATACGTTATATATAATATATTAGCCTCGCTTTCGTATAAGACCTTGTGGCCTAATGGATAAGGCGTCGGCCTCCGGAGCCGAAGATTGTGGGTTCGAGTCCCATCAAGGTCGTAAAGTTTTACACATTAAAAAATTTCATATTTTACCAATTATGCTTATGAAAGTTTAATGGAGGGGATTTAAAGAATTCCTACTCTTGTAATTTTTAGATATTTGTCGATAGTTTCAAGATTTTAACTAAGGTTTTTAGTGTTCTTTGTGCACATAGCTAAAAGGTTATTTTTTCTTATTTGATGCTGAAGAATGGGCATGCTTATTAACTGAGGTTTACCTTTCTTTTTATCAAATGTTACATAAAAGGAGTTGTTTTTACTTTAATGTCTTTATTCAGTAATACTTTGTTTCTTTGTTGTCTACAAAGCAAAATTATTTCTGTATTTTGTACTAAATGAAATGGGGAAACAATTTCAGAATACTGTGTATTCCTTTTGTCATGGATTATCAGTTGGTATAGAATCTATCGCTGCAGCAAACCACAAATGTAAGACCCAACAACCAGTTAGAGTCCTTCTGCGGAAGTAATAGGACACCATCTCCAAAATTATAAATCCAATAAATATCTTTTTCTTTCCTTGTCAATGACTATACAAAATGTCACATGAACAAAAAAAATCAAAAGCTAATTTGCACTAAAACTCCATGCTTGATGCCAGTCAAAACTATGTCTATTGAGAGGGAAGAGTTGAGGCTAATAAATTTGGTCACATTTGAGAGATCTTGTATCTATCTAAATGTCCTATTTAACAAGTCAATACAGTAGCAAATCCAGCACTCTTATAATGTGTATGCAAGACTATATTAAAAACATATAAATATGGATACAGTGGCAGAGCCTTGTCTCTTACAATGTGCATACAAGAATAGTGTTTTTGTTGTTATATGGTTTAACACCATTTTTTCAGCACAAGATAGGCTATACATGGCGGCCAGTATTAATGGTGGAGGAAGAACCCTGGAAAACCCCGGGAAGAACCACCGACCCACGAGAAGCTACTGGCAGGCTTTCTCACCTACCCATATCAGCCGAGTCTGGACTCGAACTCACGCAGACAGAGGTGAGATGGCAGTGATCTGTAACAGTCAGCGCTTTAGACCACTTCGCCACTCGGGGCCCCAGTGTGTTTTTGTATTTTTAATGTAGCTCTAACAATTTGAGTCATATTGCTATGGTGTCTGCAGCGTGGCAGTTTATTGTGATATCTAGCATGTTGCATCACATCCCACCCAGTCACATTATCCTGACACCAGGCTGACCATTCCTAACACTAGCTTCCTAATGATGAGAGCCATAGATTCAGCTGTTAGTGCCATTTTTCTGTGTCACTGTCATCACATAACCCTACCTTCAAGCTCATTAACTTCACCATGTGAGGCAGATGCTTCTAACCACTTAGGTCACTGGGGCAGTTTGTATGCTGGATATAAAAACATAAAATGAGTGCAGTGCAAAATCTAAGTCTTCTATAATGTGTATGCATGACGGTACTAAAAACATAAAGAAGGAATATAATTTAAAAGCAAGGTGTTTGCAGGACCATATTAAAAATGTACAAGTTGGGATACAGTAAAAAAGCTAGGTCTCTATGCAGGACCATATTGAAAGCACATACAGATGGGATATATAATATATGCTTACCATATAAATCTTGGTAATATCAGCAGAGTTTATACAACTAGGTACTTTTATCTCTCATTTGGAAAACTTGGTCTTTATCCTTCATGCAGTCATAATGATCAGAACCTTATATATAAAAACATGCCCAGGCATGAGAACTTATCAGCAAGTTTTTTGTTTTACTTTTTTTTGATTTTTTGTTTTATTAAATCCATTGTTGTTGAGGATAATTTTGAAATCAACATATTTCTGATTTTAGATTTATTTTCAAATTCCAATTGTAAAATCCGTATACCATGATCTACATAAGGGATCTGATCTGATATTGATACAATTTATGTTGATTTCTAAATTGTTTTTTTTTCAGAATAAAAAGGATAAATAAAAAGCATCCCATTACTGAACCAAATATCACCTTCATAAACCATTTTTGTAATACAATAAAGAACCAAGTAATTTCCTTCAGGAAGTAAGTACCTTGCTGTTCTTTTTATCTCATGTGTTATTTGCAGTGACTGTGGGTTCCATATGCATATAAATTGGGAGTCACATAAGTTCAGACATGGATAACATATACAAATCTGAACCTTTTAAGTCCCTGATAGTATGATATTTGACATTAAAAATGATAAAGGCTGCCATCTTAAGCATAATATATAATTCCAAATATCTTTTTCTAAAAGCACAGAAAATCCTTGGATCCACCTTTGTTATGTGAATGCCTAAAACTTCAAACACGAACAAGACCACTCTGTTGGCCTAAGTGATTAGAGTGTCAGCCACGGATGAAGGAGGTCAGGGGTTTGAACCCCAGCCATATCACACCAAAGACATATAAAAGTGGTACATACAGCTGCCTTGTTTGGCGCTCAGCCGTAAGAGGTTTTTGTTAGGACTGGTCCACCTGATGTCAGAATACTGTGACTGGGTGGGTCATGATGCAACATGTCTGAGTCATAATTCCCCAATGCTAGACATCACTATAAACTGCCATAACAAAGACATTGTAGTGATATGACTAAAAATTTGTTAAAGCTACGTAAAATATCTGAATCCCACACACACACACACACTATTGACACCAATTCAAAGCCTCTGTCAGTAAAAATTCTTAGCCAATGCTTCTCTGCTCGTCAATGCTGCTGATCCTCCTGCATAAAGCGCCAAACATTTAATTCAGGGAGGGGAGGGGATTTCCTGTTAAACCGGGATACTTTTCTTTTACGGTACATCAACATTCCCCCATATCCAGGCTTTACCCCACCCAAAAATGAAATGGTCCATCACTAATGGTATGAGACTTAAAAAGAGTTACACAGAATGTTATGTCCAATCTACCTCACCGATTCTAAGGAATATTCACCAAGCTAAGCAAGGTCATATTTGACAGTGTATTTATCTTCTAACCTGAAGCTTTCGTCCTTATTCATCAGCTAACTTATGTGATCCCTACTGACTGTCAACATCACATAATGGTGAGCGATGTTAACAGGTTGTCCCAGATATTCGGCAGGTTGCTGATGAAGTCCTTAAAGGTCATCTTTATACATCTTTTTGTAATTGAAAAGTTAAATACATTGTCAAATATGAATATTACTACACCATTAAGCTTTCACTGGCATGGTCACTAGAGAAAATATGGTCACTGTGACTTCATTTTGCCTTTGATTCACAGCATACCACCTGACTGTACATACAGTCTTTTCAAACTGACCTTAATGCAACACCTAATGTTGATGTTTGTGCCAATAATAACAGAGCTTAATGCAAACTCTTAATGCAGATGTATATGCCAACAATAACAAACTGTAATAAAAAAAACAAACTAATTATGAAACTTATACCAACATTTACAAACTGCGCTATAAGTAAACAACTAATTTTGAAGCCTCTGCCAACATTAACAAACTGCCCTAAAACCAAACAACTAATTTTGAAGCCTCTCCTAACAATAAGAAACTGCCCTAAAAGCAAGCAAACTAATTTTCAAGCCTCTGCCAACAATAACAGACTGTGCTAAAAGTAAACAACTAATTTTGATGCCTATGCAACCCCCCCCAAACTTTACTAAAGGAAACAAGTAATTTTCAAGCTTCTGCCAGCAATAAGCAAATTGTGATAAAAGCAAACAATTAATTCTGAAGCCTATGCCAGCGACGACAAAGTGTGTTAAATGCAAACAACAAATTTTGAAGCATCGTTTATACATGGGTTTCATTGTGAGAGTGACTAATTTGTTTGGTTTCTCTTCTTGCATTGTGTTTGCCCTAGCCTAATTTCACTCTTTGCTTTTTGGAAAATTAGATGCCTATCAATACAACATGGATATATCCACCAATATGATACAACTGAAGTGCAAAGTTTTAATTCAAACAGGGACCATAACTCTGTAAAATATTCAGATATTGGTAAAAAAAAAAAAAAAAAATCAAGTTAACCAAAGACATAAAGATAAAGCATGTACCAAATTTAATTCAAGTCCATCAAATATTACAGAGTGGAAAGAAATCTGCAAAGGATGTGATATGACATGACAATGTGACAGATAAATGCAACAATTTAACCTTAGAAACATGAACACGATTCAACATTTGCTTACTGTGCATATCTTTACAAAAAAAGTTCCAAGAGCCAATAAGGAATACCACCAATAGTGCATACTGTGGCGAGAGGCCTGTTTAAAAAAGGTCTAAGAGAAATGCCCCATGAAGTAAAGTTTGTAACGGAAAAGCCTTTACAGTGGATTAAACGTTTTCAAATTTATAGACATACCACTTAACTCCAAAGCAAAATACTTTTAATAATGAGTATAATCAAAGCATTATTTTCATAGCTATGTCAATCTTACTACTATGCATTTCCCAATCTGAATAAAAACTAGATCTACTTATAGTATGTAGTGTAAATTTAATTTGACATACATGTTGTGATTTCATATAATGAAGTACAGACTGGAATCTGTTCCCACAAAATGATCTTATTGGTCTGCATAATGTTATATTTGGACATGCAAGTGTGACCTTTATCCCATGTCATATTGACAAGAATTTGTGATCTTAGCCCTGATGTCATATGGACAAGCATGACCATAACCACCATGTCATAAGGACAAGCATGACCATAACCACCATGTCATATAGACAAACATGACCATAACCACCATGTCATATGGACAAGCATGACCATAACCACCATGTCATATGGACAAGCATGACCATAACCACCATGTCATATGGACAAGCATGACCATAACCACCTTGTCATATGGACAAGCATGACCATAACCACCATGTCATATGGACAAGCATGACCATAAGCACCATGTCATATGGACAAGCATGACAATAACCACCATGTCATATGGACAAGCATGACCATAACCACCATGTCATATGGACAAACATGACCATAACCACCATGTCATATGGACAAGCAT